TTATACTCATCGCATTGAAGCATACTGTGCATTTTATACTCATCGCATTGAAACATACTGTGCATTTTATACTCATCGCATTGAAGCATACTGTGCATTTTATACTCATCGCATTGAAACATACTGTGCATTTTATACCCATCACATTGAAGCATACTGTGCATTTTATACTCATCACATTGAAGCATACTGTGCATTTTATACTCATCGCATTGAAGCATACTGTGCATTTTATACTCATCACATTGAAGCATACTATGCATCTTATACCCATCACATTGAAGCATACTGTGCATCTTATACCCATCACATTGAAGCATGTTGTGCATCTTATACCAATCACATTGAAACATACTGTGCATTTTATACTCATCACATTGAAGCATACTGTGCATCTTACATCCATCACATTGAAGCATACTGTGCATCTTATACCCATCACATTGAAGCATGTTGTGCATCTTATACCAATCACATTGAAGCATGTTGTGCATTTTATACTCATCACATTGAAGCATGTTGTGCATTTTAAACTCATCACATTGAAACATACTGTGCATTTTATATTCATCGCATTGAAGCATACTGTGCATTTTATACTCATCACATTGAAGCATATTGTGCATTTTATACTCATCACATTGAAGCATACTGTGCATCTTATACCCATCACATTGAAGCATACTGTGCATCTTATACCCATCACATTGAAGCATGTTGTGCATCTTATACCCATCACATTGAAGCATGTTGTGCATCTTATACCAATCACATTGAAGCATGTTGTGCATTTTATACTCATCACATTGAAACATACTGTGCATTTTACACTCATCACATTGAAACATACTGTGCATTTTATACCAATCATATTGAAGCATACTGTGCATTTTATACTCATCACACAGAAATACGCTGTGCATTTTAAACTAATCACACTGAAACACTGTGCATTTTAAACTGATCACATTGAAGCATATTGTGCATTTCATACCCATCACTTTGAAACATGTTATGCATTTTATACCAGATACTAAGGATTTGGTAGCACTCCAAATTGTTTAGCGTGTAGATAATTATCTCAGAATTACAAGTATATATAACTTTTTAAAGCTACTTTTACCTGTTTGATGTTTAAAGTTCACTTTAAAAATTTAGTTAACAACCAAGTTATTTCAATTTTTATAATTTTTGCTTTCATGCTACTTTAAACTTTAGCGTTAGTAAATATAAATGTATAACGAGAAAATTTATTCATGTGAACCACTAGATGTTAATTTACAAAATTCAGACTAAGTCAAGCACTACTTGCTGTTAAAAATCTTGTAGTTTTGTTTTTCTCTAAGTAATGATTCTATCAAACTTTTGTACCCCCTGAAAATCTATAAGACTGATTGATAAAAAAAAACGTCTTTCACACCTACTAACCCTAACTGTTGGTCAAGCAGGGCTTAATGTGAAATGTTTTTGTTAGGATTACTGTACTGTGGTCACTCATTTTCAACTCTTTGTACTGCTCTTAATATCATAAACATGAGTTGTCTTTCATAAAATTTCCAAATAACGACATGATCTGAGAAAGGAGTAAACTCATAAATAGAAGTAAATAATTTGCACAGACTTTTGTTTAGATTAACTCATCCAAAATAAACTCTTGATATTAAAAGCCTTATTGTTTTCCCAAATATAACGACATGATCTGAGAAAGGAGTAAACTCATAAGTGGAAGTAAATAATTTGCACAGACTTTTGTTTAGATTAACTCATCCAAAATAAACTCTTGATATTAAAAGCCTTATTGTTCTTCCCAAATATTTATCAATACTCCAACCTAGCAAGGCACAAAGACTATCAAAAGGCAAGTCAAGTTTGGCTTGTGTAATGTTATCAATTAACATTCAAAATGAATAATATACTGGTACTTGCATTCTCAGAAAAAGTATTTTATATTATTGTAGGTATGTTCTTTCTTCAAATTTACACATGTATATTGTTAAGTACTTATAGTAAGGTTCTGGCAATCAGATATATCATTGTCATAGTAACTATCCTATATGATCACATAAGTTTAATGATTAATTAGCAACTTTTATTAATATATATAAATAGATACTATGCACTTAATGACTTTTGTAAGGCTGTGGACTTTGCAAGTTGTATAACTATTATTATTCTTCTGTATAGGTAAACAACATTTCATAATTCCTGAAGAACTTCAATTACTTTTCAGCACCCGATGATGCCAAAGACTAACTCAGAAATTTAATGAAGCCATACTTCAAGATACGGACAAATATCATCATATAAATATATATACAAGGTACAAAATAACACTGATGATCTATATCAGAAAAACACTAAGTAAGACAATATATACTGTATTATATTACACTAGTGGAATGTGCTTATTGAGTAATCATCGGGCTCGTTAACCAACTATATGAAACTAGTTCTCACAAGACTTGAAATAATCTAAAATAACAATAATTGGAAAACACTAATTTGATTAATTGATTATTTTTGTGAGTCATAACACTCATTGATTGTGCTGAATCAACTTGAGTTAATAAAAAAAAATAATGAAAAATCATAACAGCAATATTTCAGTTATATGGATAATTGGAATAATGGAAAACATTAATAATCTGAAACAATATTTTTAATTAGTTGATTATCTTCCAGACTTTAATTGATTTAATTGTACATTTGATTAACCAACTGATGTAATTGATGCTCAGAGGTAATTAATTGATTATATACATTAATTGTGTCAAGCTCTATGCACTGCTATTTAAGATTAATACCAACACACACATGTATGCGTACTAAAGAATTCACATAATGAAAATAATTTCTCTCATTAATTCTCATAACAAGAAGATTTCTAAATATCCTCTACCAGCACTTGTGTTTAAAATTTTTTGCTAAAATTATAAATAATTAATTAAAAACAACGTTTTATTGTGTAAATATAAAATGTTGTTTTTAATTAATTATTTATTATAATTTTAGCAAAAAAGAAGCTTTCTAACACTATAGACACACCTAAATGCACCTTCATACACTTAATTAAACATTCATTACAAAAACCTGAAGAGTAAAGGACAATAAACCCTAACAATATACCCACCTCAGATAAAGCTACAACCACATAAAAAGCACAATTTACAATCTACCAGAAGAAGAAAAAGAATAATTCAAATGAAAATAAGCTATGAAATGTATAACCCCAATTAAATACTATGAGAAAATTGAAGAAAGACAACATAATAACATTCTAAGCAGCAGACAAAGATAGTACTGTTATAATCAAGAACAAAGACAATCGCACCATCAAACTCCAGACTAGTCGAAGATGGCCACTACACAAAAGTCAATTCTAACACAGAGAAGAAAATTAATCAATTCATCAAGATATATCAGAAAAAACTTAGAAAATAACAGTCAAACAACTAACAGCACATCACCCCACACATCCATAGTTTATTGCTATATAGCTAGATATTTGGTAGAAATAATATTACTGTTAACAGGTAAAACATTCTTATGTATTAACCAATTGGCAGGGATAATTAAAACAAACTTAAGACACAATGGTCAGCTTTGATGTAGCCAGCATCATTAGTAATGTAT